TGATACAAAGTTTAAGAAAACTAAAAAATAATTTGAATCTTACTTAAACGAAAGATATGTAAAATATATCAAAATGTCCTTTAATATTGTCATTTAAATATATCATTATTGGAAGTTAAAATCCAAAAATTACAAACAAAGACATGTTTTTAAAACCTACTAAAAGAACAAACTCATTGAAAAATAGTAAGCATATATATGAGCAATATCAATACTAGCTAGAAAATCATTACATAAAAAGTAGTTAAAATTTAGTTATTTTTGGTGCGTCAACCATCATCTATAATTTAGCACACGCATCATCTATAATTTAGCACACCAGTTACCAAGTGGTACTAAATTATTAAAGAGTATATAATCAATAGTTTACATGAAAATGAAAGTTAGAAATTCTAAGAGCCAAGACATTATTTTAATAGGAGATATTTTTTTTTACCATCATTTAACCTTTAAGAAAGGGGATGGCAAAATGCAGACTTAAATTGGACTACACTTTGGTATTCACAAAGGGTGTCAAGATCATTACATTTCTTTGCTTGATGTACAAGCAAATGTGTATGCAAAACCTAATGAGTTGAATAGAAAGAGTAAGAGTAAAGGAAGTCTTACTTATTATAGGTCACTTTTAAGTACATATAAGGATTAAAAAATGCTCTTTAACGTAATAAAAATAATTTAAAATTGTCTTTTCTTCTCATATTAAATTTTATATTAGGAGAAACTATATAATTACATGAATATTCTTATCATATTCACTAGTTCTATTATAGTTTGAAAGACTTATATTTTATATTATGATTTAATATAATTTGATACCAGATTTCAAGTCAGATACATTTGGATACATGTTTTATTCACTTAGATACATATTATTTTGCTAGTAGATATAGTGAATTAGAAAGGGAGGTGAACAAGATTTATCTATGTAACCAAAATACATGCATATTGAACTAACATGTGTATCTATATGTATCTTGTATGATTCGAGAGCGGTGAACGAGATGGGAGGGAGAAGAGAGAGATTAGTCTATATGTAATTCAAATGCATGCAAATCTCACTAATATATGTATATGTATGTATCGTGTATGATTTCGAGAGTGAGAAACGATATTAGAGAAGCGAGTGAGATTTGTCTATATATCCAAATACATGTGAATCCACTTGGATACAATGTACCTTGAGTAAAAATTACACTTAATTTTTACCCTATATATCCCTAAATACATGTATTTTAACATATCTAAATATACCAAAATATGATAACATTTCATAATATTACAAATTAGCACATTCCAAATAATTTACTCTTATATTAGTGAAATTTCTCTAAGTTACCCTTATAATCATCCTTAATGTTAATTTCAGATTAATAATGTATCTTCTTTCATCTAGTGAATCACAATTTTCCTTATTATTAATCTTAGGTGTTAAAAATGTCTCTTTCACTTACTGGAAATTTTCCTTATTCATATTAAATGATGTTTTTATCTTCTTTTTTTTTTTAAAAAAAAAAACCTGATCTGGAGTTTCACATAATCAAGAATATATCAATTATAATTTTAGGAAATTACTTATTTTTAGATACGTGAATTTTTATGTAACCAAGAAATGATATTAAATAGGTGTTATTATATCCGGTCTTCACTCCCTGTTAGTCATGATAAGGTTTTACGCAATCTTTAAGAAAAGAATAATTAGCACTCTATATATTACATATATTAAATAAATACACTATTTTCTTCTTAATAATTAAATATCATAAACTAAATAAGAAATCACTTATTTTTCAAATTAATATTTTCTTCAAAACATTTTACTTGAAAAACATATTCCAACTTCATATCAAACATATACCGAAACTTATGTACTGCAATTTCTAATTAATCAAAGCTCGAAGTAATACGAATATCGGGCACTTGAAAAAAAATAATAAAAAGTCACACAATATCTAATTAGTTTGATTTTCAAAAAGAAAGATAAATTATTTATTTTATATTAGGTTTGAGGTTTTATTTTAGGATAAATTACCTATATACACATCTTTATTTTCTATAATTTCTATTATTCCCTATCATTTAAAAATATTTCTAAAATTCCTCTTTTTTCTTTCAAACTCATTGTTCCATATACATAAAGTTATACAAGTTTTTTTTCTATTTTTACTCCTTATTTCACTCCCTCAACCTCTTCCTATTTTCACTCACTCTATCTCTTCCTATTTTCACTCCCTCAATCTTTACTTCCTTCATTTTTCAATTTTCAGATTTAATTCTCTCTATTTTCATTAATATCTCTCCACAATTTTTTTCAAAAAAACTCAAGTTTTCGCTTTACAATTTTTTCCAAAGAATTACCGGATTCTCCTCCATTTTCACCTTCACAATATGCATAAGGAAAAGGTAAAAGAGATAATGTATTCATATTGTTTCTTGCAAAAAAAATCAATTTTAGGAGATCCTCTTTTGCTAGTGAAACTACATTATGAAATAAAAAGAAGTAGTCTCTACCAGATGTATCATTTTATCATGTATCAAGTGTTGCTATGTATCTTCTACGGTTATTCAAATTTAGAAGAATATGTTTCCGTACATAATATCAAATTATATTCGTGATACATTTGTGAGCGAAGAAATCGAGGAAGGACACATGCTCGAGCTTTAAATCTATTGTTTTACAAATTTTCAAAATCCCTCATTTTTGCGCATTAAATTAATGTATCAGCGCATTAGATTAATGTATCTCACGCATCAGATTAATGTATCATGTATAAAATGTAATGTATCTTACTTAACGATTAATATATCAGCGCTTATTTTAGTTATGATACGTAAATTCAAATTTATACTAAATGTATCTGATACATAACAATTACCAAACAATAATGTATTGATCTCAAACAATTACTATAATGTATTTTAAAAAAAATTAAAGTGTAGTATTTGTCAAATAAAATAACAGGCATAAATAATAATGTATCAAACACTATTTTTTAGTTATGATACGTAAATTCAAATTTATACTAGATGTATCTTATACATAACAATTACCAAACAATAATCTATCGATCTCAAACTTAAAATCTTATGGGCAACACTTACTTATTTAATGTATCTAGTAAAAATATAATATTTATCAATTCAAACGAAAGGATCTTCATGATCTCAAACAAAAGAACATACATAAATATAATATATCATGCACTAATTTTTTAGTTATGATACGTAAATTTGAATTTATACTAAATGTATCTACAACATAACAATGGCAAAATAATATATTGATCTTAAACCTAAAATTTTATGAGCAACACTTTCTTATTTAGTGTACCTAGTAGAAATACAACACTTATCAATTTAAATTGAAAGGATCTTCATGATGTATCCTCTAAAAAATTTTGATAATTTTTAATCAAAATTAAAAGAATCTTCAATGAACTAGAAGAATAATTTTGAAATTCAAAATTTTCGTCAATTTTGAATCAAAATGGAAAGGGTCTTCAATGACCGGAGAGAATTTAGAATCTCAAAATTTTCGATTTCTTGAATCAAAATCGAAAAGATATTCGATGAACTTGAGGATTTATAAAAGAAATCGTTTGTCCAACAACAATTCCATACAATCCTTCATAACTCATCCCGCTTTTCAAAATTTCGACAAATTTTTTTATGAAACAGAGAGAACGATGAAGAAGAAGAAGAAATTTAATTTTTTAATTTTTTTGGGTTGTTACACTATAGGATTTTGAATTCTTGATAATAATTTGGAATGGAATAACGTAATTTGTAGAATCTTGATTTAATTTTCAATTTTCCCCCTTAATTAGTGGAACAAATGGATACTATGAGATTTTAAATTGATTTTACAGTTTTTTTTCCTTAATAAATGCAACAGATTGATATATAATGTATCAATAATAATATATTCGGATCCTTAATTATGAAACTGAAATGTCTAAAAAATATGAGATTTATGTATTATAAAAATAATAGAAATAGAAGGTAATTTAGATTTTACACTACGGTATTTATGTAAGTTATACTTTATTTTACTCTTAGGTAGGTGTGCAGTACTTTTTACTTGTAAATTTGATTTTTCGTGTTTACTTTTTATATAATTATGTTTCAAAGGCCTATCAAATTTTTTTGAGAGTATCTACCTGAGCCCATCACTTTCAACATAAACAACACACAATGAGGATAAGAATGAAAGAAGATATTTATGGACCTTTATAACATTAATTGTGATGGACCAATATGCATTATATGAGTAGATGTTGATCGATCCTCTTGCTATACCTATGAAAATTCCAACAATTTAATATATCTTGCATTTGAGGGCGACTTCTCATACATCTTTGCACGTATTAGAAATATTTGCATGGAAA